TGCGGTGCGAGAGGAAATACTGTATGAACCCCAAGAAGTTCGGTTTTCATTGCAGCATAATTGGGAGGTGCCTCAGAGGCCATCTAGTCCAACCCCTGCTCCGGGCATGATCCACCAGAGCACTGTTTCTCAACGTGGGCAACTTCAAGATGCATGGACTCCAACTCGCAGAATTCCTCATGCTGGCTGGGGAATTCTGGGAGTTGAAGTCCACACTTCTTCAAGCCGACAACGTTGAGAAACACTGCCCTAGAGCATCCCCAAACAGATGCCAGCCTCTGCTTGAACCCTCCGTGAAAACTCAGGCCGTGCACAGCCGGCTCTGCTGCCTGAAAGCTGGTGGGGTCAGGAATTTCCTCCTGATGTCCGGCTTGGGCCCGCTTCCATCTCACTTGAGCCTGGTCCTGCCATGTGGGGCCGGGGAGAATAAGTCCAGTCCCTCTTGACTGGGGCACCTTCTCCCCACAAACCCACCGATGGGCTTTGCCTTTACCTCGGCTCCCTCCCGGCTGGGTAGGAAGTAGTCTCGGGGGCCGTTAGGTGCCATCTCGGAAGAGTGAGACGCCTCCAGAAGGGGCCAGCCCAGAGCCCAGGGAAATAAGTGTTTAAATTTTAAATGGCCCAAGCTCGTTCTTATAAATGTCCTGCGGGTACCCTGGGCGTAGAAGCTGGCAGACCCCGAGCATTATGCTGCAGACAAGTTTTACTGCATCCCCAACTGCCTTTGGAAGATCCAGCTTCCCCCCAGACAGGAAGGCGTCGATGCTTCAGCTCGGCCAGCTGAATTTCCTCCCAGGCTCCTCCGCACCCTCCTGCCCTGCGCTCTGCCCCTCTCGGGACGGGCACTCCACGCCTCGCCAGGGCAGGGGCCGGACTCCGACAGCCACTTCTTTCAAGCAGGCATTTCCACAGAAAGCTAAGCAAGTCGATGGGCTGAAACTCACCCCAGCCTGGATCAGCCGGCTGCCTTTTAGGGGTCTAAACTGGAAGTTTTCCAATGCCCGTTACGGCCTTGTTTATCAGCATTTTGTTATTTTACTGTGTGGACTTGGGCATATGCCGCAATTTCATTCTGTGCCCTTTTAACTGATTTTAGTTGTTCTGTATCAGATTTTTTAAAGAATTGGTCTCTGCAAACAAACAAAACGGCCTTTTAAATCGCTGCTTTTGTTTTATCGTGCATCTCTGTTGACTCATTATGCGCCATCAAGTCAGCGTCGACTCTTAGTGACTACCTAGGTACATTTTCCCCAGGATGACCGTCCCCGCCCTGGTCCTTCAGGGCTTCCAGCGGCGCACCCATCGCTGCTGTAATGGCACCGCGGCTGGCCGTCCAAACTGAAACACCTAACGAGAGAGACGGAGAGGTGGGAAGAGAAAGAGGAGGGAGCGCTCAGGGGCCCAGCCCCAGCCCCAGCCCCAGCCCCAGCCCCAGCCCCAGCCCCAGCCCCAGCCCCAGCCCCAGCCCCAGCCCCAGCCCCAGCCCCAGCCCCAGCCCCAGCCCCAGCCCCAGCCCCAGCCCCAGCCCCAGCCCCAGCCCCAGCCCCAGCCCCAGCCCCAGCCCCAGCCCCAGCCCCAGCCCCAGCCCCAGCCCCAGCCCCAGCCCCAGCGCCTGGTAGCATTAGCGCCAAATGCTTGGGAGCAGCTGCAGAGGGAAGGCTCTGCCCCGTGCGCTCTTCGTCTGATTCGCTTTGGGCACGTCGTCTCCTGAGAAAGGGGGGCTGCCCCTTGGGCCGAGGGCAACGGGCAACACCGAGGCCAGGAGGAGCCAGACCGCAGGCCTGCAATTACCAGCCATCAGCATAGGCTTTCCTGTCTGGGCAGATGTGCTGGGCCAAAGTGAAACCCCGTGATTTAAATCTGCCCTCTTTCCTCCGTCCTCTTCCCACCGTGCATCCTGTCTGGGGCAACCACACGGCTGAACTCCAAAACCCTGGGAAGGCTTCCAGATCCGGGGAGAGGGAACCCCGTGGGGCGTGGACCTCCTTTGCCTCAGACACCCAGCGCCAGCAGATGCACAAGAGCCACTCCGGGAGGCATTCCCGCTCCCCTCGGTGCCACGTGTGCACTGCAACGGGGAAGAGAGTGGCTCTTTCCCCGCTTCAAATCCGGGGGTTGCCTGTGGTACGAAAAGTAATAACTGGTTTGACTTTAGCAGCTGGAAGTTAATCGTCCCCAAAGGCAGCACTCCTTTGGAGGCTCTTCCATCTCCCCAGCGCCACTGGCTGAGTCGCAAGACGCAAAACACAACCCGAGATGTAAAACCGTGAACCACGAACTTCCTGGCCCCATTTCATCCGAGTCCAGCAAGCGGGGCCAAGCCGGCCTAATCAAAGCCAGGCCGCACGTCATTCCACCCAGCGTGTCGCTCGAGACAGACGTGGCACTGAGAACAGCCCCATCTCCCCTCCCACCCCGAAGAAGCCTTCTCAGAACTCAAAAACAACAATTTTGTATAACTTCAGCTGATCTAATGAAGGTGCTGCCTTTGCAGATGGGGAACGATAATATATACCATTTTGGATTATTGGATGCAAAAGATAGTGATTTAAATGAATTTGTAATCAAACAAATTTAAAGCTAGGCTTAAGAGAGATTTGTCCACGCAGCTGAAACAAGCCTGAAAGGACCCTGAACAACGAAAGCTTAACTGGCCAGGGGTGACCCGAAGGGCCTTGGGAGCAGAGACACACTTCCAAGGGCCACTTCTGAGAGGGTGCGGAGGGCACCGGAAGAGCCAGCGATGCAGCGGGCAGACGTGGCAAGAGGTGGCTCAAGGACCAGAGGCCCCCTGCGGCGGCAGCGGTGTCCCCTGAATAAAAGGATCTGGCCTTGCTTATCTGACCTCCAGTACCGCACGATTCCTGCTTTCTTCATCCACTGAGCCTCCAAAGGCTGCATGAAATACAAAATCCTAGGATTGTGGAACGGGAAGGGACCCAAGGATCATCTAATCCAACCCTCTGCAATGTGCAGGACAGCCAGTTAAAGCATCCCTAAGAAATGGCTGCCCGGCCTCTTTAAAAGCCTCCAGAGCGGCGTTTCTCAGCCTAGGCAACTGGAGGATGGCTGGGGAATTCTGGGAGTTGAAGTCCACCCATCTTCCAGTCGCTTAGGCTGAGAAGCACAGCTGCAGAGGGAGAGAACCCACAACTTCCATAGGCAGACTGCTCCACTCTTTTCTTATCGTAAGGAAGTTTTTCATCCTTTTTAAACAAAACGTAGGTAGCTCCAACTTCCTGTTTCTGCAGCCATGGAAAAGATTTCCCCGGAGCACGGGGACAATGCTTTGGAGAGTTGTGGCTGCTGGACTCAGAGGGCCCACCGCACTTGGCTTCATTCGAGGTCTAGCAGCTGCACGCACACAGGCTGAACTTGGGTTGCACTAACTGCAGTTAATCTTTTCATGGCTTAGCCTGCGTGTGAATCCAGCCCAGGGTAGGAACACTGGTCAATTCAGTGGTTCTCAGATTTGAGGATCTGACCCCAAGATACAGGTTTGTGAGGAAACTGGGGGGAAGGGGAGATGCAAAGCACGAACTACGGAGAGCTGCAAAACAGAGAAATCGGTACTTAATATAACACGTGGCAAAGTTTGGGATCCCAGGCTAAACGGGAAGAGGTGTACAGTAGCAAGGAGCTTAAATCTGCTGCGGAAGGTCTCCCTTGAGGAGCAGCAGCAGCAGCAGCAACAGCAACTTGCTTCTTCAGCAAGTCCTCCCCAGCTCCCCACTGGTAGAACTCCAGCCAGAAAAGCAGAGGCAGCGAAACCCTCCTTCTGGCACCCTTCGCCGGCCCCAGGAAACCTGCCGTGGGCCAGCCAGCAATTCTGCTTTGGCCTCTCGCTGTACATTTATAATGACCTCAAGGCTTTGTGTTTACAGAATCCTGAAGCCGGGTCCGCTTTCCACCCAAACCACCCTTATCAAAAGCAGATGTCTGGAGGACAGCAGAGAGCCAGCCTCGGGGGCAGCGCTGTTTTCGTTTTGTGTTCCTACCAGGGACCCTGTCGATATCCCGTCCTTGCCCCAAGAGCCCCCCACACCGTAGCAAAACGTGGGATGCATTTCGCCCCCCAGATTCAGCTCAGTTCAGTTGGCTAAATTTTGGGGCCTCCCCTTTGTCCGTGTCCGCAGGGTGTTCCCCTCATACTTTTATAGCCCAGGAGGGCTGCGTGCAGCGCTCTGCAGAAGGGACAAGCAGGTCTTCCAGCAAAATCACTTTCACCATTCCAAGATTCTCAGACAAAAAAGGGGTCACGTGACAGCCGGGCCTCCTTTTTCAGAGACATTGGAGCAAGTTTGGAAAAGGGCAGTGGAGATGACCAGGAGACTAAAAATAAAGACTTATGAAGACCTTGAAAGGGCTGGTTGAGCCTCGAGAAAGAGACGGCTGAGGGCGAGATGATGTTCTTCATGCACCAGAAGAGATGCCGTAGAATGCTAGAACGGAAGACGCTCTAGGCCAGGGTTTCTCAACCTCGGCAACGTGAAGATGCCTGGACTTCAACTCCCAGAATTCCCCATCCAGCATGAACCTAGATGCAATGCCCACATTTCAACGAGGCACTCTATATTTCAGAGCAATCACTCATCATCCGATTGTATTATCTGGCTATCTTACGCGTGTATTTGTACATGGCTGTCAAACAACAGAGCTTGCAGAATTACTATTCTGAGTTAAAGAAATACAAGGCAGGAACTGTAATATTTTAACAGAAAATAAGTACAGAGTCACATGGCACCCCGCACCCAGCTCCCCCCCGTCCCATAGTCAGTCCAACAGCGAGCTGCCGTCTTCTGCAGCTCACGCAGCCCCTACGTCTCTCTCACACGCTCCCCCAGATGGGTTAGGCTCCGTCCACCAAAAGCAGCCAGACCAGGTCTTCTCAGGGAAGTTCATCAAAGGTCTTCATCATCTTTCGGCCATCGGTAGCAATTCCCTGAAAGGGGGTAGGAGATGTTAGACCGCTGCTAGAACAGCCTTTGCGTAAGAGGAAACAGCCTGCCTAACTCTACAACACTGTTTCTCCACCTCGGCAACTTGAAGAGGTCCCCATGCTGGCTGGGGAATTCTGGGAGTTGAAGTCCACACCTCTTCAAGTTGCCGAGGTTGAGAAACACTGCTCTAGAGGTGGGTTATTACAATGCGGGATTCTTCTCACTTCATTCAATTTGCACTGTCTTCCAGCGACTCTCCAGATTCAATCAGAGGTTCTTCCCTACAAAATCCTACTCGAACTGCCGTCTTCAACAATGAAATGTCCCAATGTCTACTGGGATTTCTCTTTGCATCCTGCTGCCCTTGCAGGCCCAAGTACGAGGGCGCTGGAGCAGTCTGTGGGGATATCAGCATCCTCTGAGTTCAGGCTGGCCTCCTCTTTGGCTACTAGGAATGCTAAAAAGTCATTTCTGCTGAGCAAACTGTTTAATTTTTGTTCTTCCCCACTTTTGGGTGACCGGCTGGGTTTCACGGGTCTGCTTTTTAATTTGATATTAGAGCTCTACCGCTGCCCTGGTGAGTTGCCTGCCTCTGACTTCTTGCAAAGGCTACACTGACCTGCCAGTCTTCCTTCTGCTTGTGGATCTGCTGCTGTAGCTCTGAAATCCTCTCTCGACCGGCCACCACGGCTGCAGCCAGCCGGCAGTTGCCCTCCTGCTTCTCCTTCAGGGCTTTCTGGAGGAACTTGCGCTGCTTCAGAAGGTATGGCACGACAACGCCGCGGGTGTCTTCCTCCGGGATTCCACTCGGGCGCCTGGATTCAGAGACAACGCGAGCATCAGGAGTGACCTGGAGGCAGACTGTCCTGCACTGAGACCACCAGCTCTCCTGGGAGGAAATGCGGCGGAAGCAGGAGGCCACCGTGGTACCGCAAGAGCTCCCACGCAGCATTCTGCAGTGGGGTCAGACCTCTGCAGTTAACATACAACTTAACTGGCCCCGGGGGCATAGCATCATCTCCTGCTCCAGGTCTCAGGAACAGAGGGCAGTGAGGCGGGGCTATTTCCTCGAAGCTGTGAAGAGAGATTGCAGGCCGCACAGACGTTGGGCTGAACTGCTTGAACACGAAACAAACCATACCATGCGCACGCTTCCTTGTCCTTCGCTCCTTTCTCAAGCTTATCCAGCGACTCAAAGAGCACCTGCAGGTTCCCTTCCTGCTTGAGTGCCTGGATCTCTTCCTGCGGAAACAGAGACAACCTAGTGGCGCATGGCGGAAGCACCACCCAGATCGGCTTGCAAAATTGAGCAGCAGAGAACATGCAGAGTTATACTTATACAATACTGTGTAACACCAACGGGAGTGGCGTAAACTCTTTAAAAACTTTGCAAGGCTAGCAAGGGTCAAATTAATTAAGCAGACCAAGTGAAGAAAGCAATCCTGGGTTGGAATTGCAAGCCAGACAGGTTTCCCAGGGGAAAGCCCCTGCTTCAAATTTATATACTTACTGAATTTGTTACCCACTGCAATCCAGTGACTCCTGGTGGCTCATAAGGCCCTCCAGTACACAAAAATGCACACAGGAAAATATCAGTAACATGGAAATAAAACACACACAGAACAAAATACACCACAAAAATAATAAAAATTAAAACCAATGAATGAATGAATGAATGACAAGGATCAAAGACACAAATGCTTTTCTGAGTAACTCAGTAGGAAACATTCATTTCCTAAACTGAGTGTTAATAAAGGGAGGGCTTGTCAGTTCTCAGAGAGAAGGGCAGGCACAGCAAAGGAGAAGCCGTGCCTGTGAGCCTCCAGGTCCTCTACCTCACCAAAGTGGAGGACCACCACTAGGAGGTTCTCCTGGGACATCCACGTTGAGCGGGTCAAGGCTAGTTGAAGAGGACTCCCTGGAGTTATCTTGGAGCTAAGCCAGGTAGGCCTTTAAAGGTCAACACAATACTTTGAATTATACTTGGAAACCAAGAAGATGGTGGAGGACCTGGAGAACCAGGAGCCACCTGTCCACGTCAGCAGGTACCAGCCAGAAGCAGGGGCCACTGCACTAGTGGAAGCTCCCAGGTGGTTTTTAAAGACAGCCCCACGTAGAGTGCATTGCAGAAGTCCTTGCAAGTGGTGATGGGCATGAGTCACAGTTGCATGGACTTCATGTTCAGGCTAAGTCTCCAATTGGTGCACCAGCCAAAGCTGGGTAAAGGCCCCTGTGGCAATGGTCTCCACCTGCCCATCTAGCAGTAGCCATGAGTCTAGGAGGACTATCAAGTGGTGAACGTGCTCCTTCAGAGGCAGTGCCATCCCATCAAGAAAGAATACTGGAGATGTCAGAAACGCACAACAGAAAAACAGTTACTCCATCTTGTTTAAGTTCAGCTTCAGCCAGTTTCATCCCATGCAGACCCACATGGCCTCCAGACATTCAGTCAAGACCTTGACAGCAACTCCTGCATGGCTGGGGGTAGTGATGTACATCGGGTGTCATCAGGATATTGATGGTACCACATTCCGTACCAAGGGATGACTTCCCTGAGCAGAATCCCACAAATCAGGAGTCCCTGGCTGAATCCTCCACAACCACCCATGGAACTACCCAGTGAGGAGGGAGTAGAACCGACATAAAACAGGGCCTCCGGCCCCCAACCCTGGCAGGTGGTGTAGAAGGAGACCATGGCCAATGAGATCAAAGGCCACTGAGAAGTCCAAAAGAACCAAGAGGAGAGTGCTTTCCCCATCCAGTTCACAAGGAAGTAACCAGTCCACAAAAGTAACCAATGATGTCTCATTCCTGTGCCCAGATCTGAACCCTAACTGAAAGGAGCTGAGATAATCCGCTTCCTCTAAGGTGCTCTGCAGTGGAACACCAACCACCATCTCAATCGTCTTCACTGGAAAGAGAAGGTTAGAGAGACTGGGTGATAGTTATCCAAACAGAGGGATTCAAGGTGGGCCTCTGAAGGAGAGGCCATCACACTGCCTCCTTCAAGGCTGCCGGTATCACTCCTTCCTGCAATGAGGCATTAACTACCTCCCAGAGCTAGTTTGTTATAGCTCCTCCAGACCCCCTGAGAAGCCATGAGGGGTGGAGTCGAGACAACCGACAGGGCACCCCATCCGCTTCAACAGAGTTTTTGGCCAGAACACATATATTTTGTGTCTTATGTGAGACACTGCCCCATTCACTACAAAGGGCTCTACGAAGGCGCAAGACTTTGTCGAATCTGAGCAACTTTACTGGCAAAATGCTGTGCTAACTGGTCACAGGGGCCAGTGGGCCACCTGCCTGCCACCCCTCCCCCAAAGGGAATGGGACACTCTAAACAAGGCTGCTGGCCAAGAGTCTGCCAGCATGACAAGGGAGACTGGACGTGGGGCGAGCTTTCACCCGTTCTCGGTCAGAATCTCCCCTCGGGTTCCTCTGCCGGCACTGTGGGTGTAGCTTCAGCTTCCTTGATTGAGACCGGCACCAGAGGACCTCCCGGGGCAGAGGAGGATCCCCACCTACGACTATCAGTGCAGGCAGAGACAAGCGATCCTGCGAGTCCCTTAATTTCAAGGCACAAGGGCCGCGAGAGTGAACACAGCATGGGAGCCCACACGCCTCCCGCAGCGCTGAGACAGGCGCAGGGCACCGCCTGGCCCCATTTCCCGGCTGCGGCGTTCTGCCTGCTATTCCAAAATGCCCGCAGCTCTAGGAGTGAAGAAAAAACGGTGGCTAGTCCTTCCCGAGAAACTGACCACGCCAGCCTTGAGGTTATGGTAGCAAGGGAAGGAAGAACGGAGAAGAGCCAGGCCCGCCCCACAGGTCTCAGGAGAGGGGATCTGGATGAACTCAGAAGAAACCCCAAAGGGGAAAAATACCCAGGAAGGATGAGCATGCAATGAGGCCCTGAAGCTGTAGGCGAACAATCCCGCAAGACAAAAACCAGGACTGATTCACACAGTCTGTTCTCTGGCATGCTGAAGAGAACAAGGGGCACGTGCAGGAAAGGGGCACACAACCAAAAAACGGGCAGCCGCCAGCAACTAGGGATTATAAAGCAGAATAAACTGGGACTTCTTTGACAAGTACCCCAAACAACAAATGCTTTCAGGTACAGAGGAAGCAAAAAGGAAAGCAAAGAAGCTGCAGGTCCACTGAGGGGAGAAAGGGGTGCACTGAGAATGGGTGACGGTGAGAAGGCAGAACATCCTAATGCAGATTTTAGGTCTGTTTCTTCTCGCAAGGGAAACGCAGCCCCAGCTGGCCCCCACTGTGCCCCGAGTGGAAGGGAGGGAGCCGCAGCTCAGGATACGCAAGGAAAGGCTGGAAGAACCCTTAGCTAATTTAAGCGATTCAAGTCTCCAGGGCCAGATGAATCACACCCCAGGGGAGGGAAGAAACTAGTGGTGGTGATCGAAGAACTGCTCCTGATGATCTTTGAGAAATCGTGAAGGATTGCCAAGGTCCCAGAAGACGAAAGGTGAGCAAATGTTGTCCCTGTCTTCAAAAAGAGGAACACGCAGGAAATGCCAGTTCAACATCTATACCAGGCAAGGTCCTGGAGCAGAATATTAAACTTATTTGTGAGCACTGGATAGGATGCAACACTTCACAAAAACCTGCATAGGCCTGTCACAATCAAGTCATGCCAGACGGCCTTACCTCCTTGGTTCTGACAATTTAATAGACTGGAGTATCACCATACAGATACCGTACCTTGACCTAAGCATTCAACAACGTAGCTAATGATCATCTTATTAATATTGTAAAACATGGGTTGGATAATACAACTGGCAGAATGACCCCACCCAGACAGTACTTAGAAAATGTTCCACATCAGATCGGAGAGAGTATCAGAGGGCTCTGTGCCACTCAACATCTGCATCAATGACCTGGATGAAGGGGTTGAGGAGATTATCAGATCACACAAAATTAGGAGGTGCAGCTAATATTTTAGAAGAGAAGATGCAAAAAGATCAAGAGAGGCTTGGACAGGAGGCCAAGAGGAACAGGATCAAATTCGACAGGGAGATATGTAAAGTCCTGGAGGTCTGGGTATTCTAGCAGCTCAGAAGTTGAATGCAAGCCAAGAGGCTGATGGAGCTGTTAAAAAGGCAAATGCCACCTTGAGGCCATTAGCAGCAGCAGCGGCAGCACAGAGTTCAGATCATGGGAAGTAATTATCCATTCCATTTCGCCTTGGCCAGGCCCCACTTGCAATACTTCTCCAGGTCTAGCGGTCTCCAAAGCACATCTGTGGCATGGAGGAAGATCAGAGGATGGCTATTAAGAACACGAGGGGGCTGGAATCCAAGTCCAGCAAGGAGCAGTTAATGGAACTGGGCCTCTTTTGAGCCTTCAGAAGAGAAGACTGAGGGGGGACAGGATAGCAGTCTTCAGATATCTAAAGGTTTGTCATACAGAGGAAGGAATGGACTTTTTAAAAAAAAAATTAGTCCATTCCCAAACAAACATACATAAAATAAAAAGGAACAACTCACACACACGAAGAAAAAAAGGGGAAAAAACACAATAAATACAAACATTAAAAAGACAAAAAGCTTGTAATTACAAATATATTCCAAGTTCACCTGATTTAGTAAATCTTTGAAAGGGGAAAATAAACTTTCAATATTCATGAAGCCTATCCAATAATTTTTTCCAAAGGGAGAGATAATGTTACTTTTTCTGATTGACACAATCTACAATTTCCTCAAAAATTGCTTGATCATACATCTCTAAAATCCAGTTCTTTATATCTGGCGTTATAGTATTTTTCCATCTCACAAGGATTATTCTTTCTGCTATTCCTAGAGCACAAAAAAATACCATCTTTGTTCAGATCATGTTAAGTTCCAAGCAGCTGGTATATAATTTAATACAATAAGCATGTCTTTAAAAACCAAAGTTATCCCAATAATTCTGTCAGCATATTATATAACATTACTTCAAAAGGAACACAGAGAAGAACATGACCATAAAATATGAGTTGAAGTGCCCTCAAATTTCTTGCAATGCCAATACAAACAATCATTAGTCCATCCTTTACAAAACATTCTAGATGCTATCCAATAAATATGAAAAACAATCTTTTGGTGGATTCATTTCAACCTTCAATCACAGGATATGAACTTAATATTCTTCAAGACCTGAGTCTATTGGTTTGAAAGGACTGGAATTTCCAATTCTTGATTCCAAGATTCTTGTATATTGGTTATAGATGTTTGGATCACTTCCTTTAACTCTTGACAAAAGAAGAAAGTAGGTTTAGATTCTAAAACTGAAGTCTTCAGCATTAATAACGTATCAGGGAATTTAGAAGCTGCTAAAGCGTTAGATCTGTATTAAGCTGTCAAAACATGTTTTAATTGAATTGATGGTTAAAAAAAAGCTGTTTGTACTTTCTGAAAAGATTTAAAGTAATCATTAAACAATAATTGATCTAGTGTAATTATACCCTTTTGCGTCCATTCTTTCTGGTAAAACGTTTTACCACTAATTTTAAGAGTAGAGTTATTCCAGATTTAAGTATTCATGAGGTTCCACATCAAATGTAAACCTATCATCTAATAGGGCCCAAATATGTCTTACTGCTGGCAAAGTTGGAAACACTAAAGTAGTCCTGATGAACTCTGTACCTAAGAATTTCCATGATTTAAATGGGTAGGTAAAATAGCTTTCCAAATTAGCTCGTAGTGGCAATTTGTTAAAAAAAAAAAAAAAAAAATCATTCCAACAGAACATGGATACTAAAATATAAGTCCAATGATGTTTCTGAAAATCTGAAAGATTAAAACCACCTAGAATGTCCCTTTCTAAAATACGTTTGTCTATGACAGAGGAAGGAATGGACTGTTCTTTGTTGCCCTAGAGCAAAGTTTCTGAACCTTGGCAGCTTTAAGATGGCGGGGAATTCTGGGAGTTGAAGTCCACTCATCTTAAAGAGGGCAAGAGCAGAACCAATGGGTTGAAACTGTAGGGAAAGATTCAGGTTAGATACTAAGAGGAACTCCTCGATAGTAAGAGCTGTCAGCGGGTGGAACAGGTTGCCTCGTGAAGGGGTATGTTCCTCTTCACTGGAGGTTTAAGGAAATCTTTCATTTTGCAGGGGTTTGATTAGATTACTTCTTCCAATTCGTACGATGCTGTGATTATTGCCAACTGCTTTGGGAGCAGGGAGGATACTTACTGAAATCATCTTCTTTGCTATTTTTGCAAACGGAGAACCGTTGCTGCTAAATAACAACTGTCAGCTGCCTTGATAAAAGAAAGAAGGAAATTGTGCATCTTCTTGAATCTTACCAGTACAGATTTCTGCAGATGGGATACGAACTGATTGTAAACACATTTTGTGAATTCAGGCTGTGCTTTGTAGAGACGGCTGTAGCACTTGGTGAAAAGACGACACCTACGGGTAGAAAAGAAAAGCTGCCGATCAGGTTACAAAGCGCGAAACACCCATTTTCAAAAGGGTTCCTATAATGCTAAACCACATTTGCTGGATGAAGCCTGGAAGGGGGCCAACGTCCCTTCTACCTTTCTCATATACAGACCCATCCTGTAGAGGAGAGCCTCGCTGAAGATGGTGCAACCCCTTTTGTTTTCTTGGAGCAAAATTTGTTTGGGGGTCACCAATATCTACTCTGGTAGCACCTTTTCCAAATAACACACTTTATTAAAAAGCATAAGCTTTTGTGAGCTGCAGATCACTTCATCTGGTGCACGGAGTGGCTAGACCAGAGGTCCCCAAACTCTTCAGCTCATTGGCCCCTTCATGAAGTTTCAGATTGTTCATCAACCCCCAAACATGTATTATATGAAAACAATTGAAAAAATACTACTTTGACTAGTAATACTACAAATAATAATAATAACAACAATAATAATAATACTGCAACAATACCTTTAACCCCATCAAACAACAACATCTGCCTATCCCAGGTCCTTGGGAAGGACTCAATAGGTGGATGAAAATGCCAAATCTAGTCAAACAACAACACAACTTACAACTGGAACATTAAAAAAAGAAACCGAAGGCTTGATTTTGGCTGCTCAAGAGCAAGCTCTCCAGACTAATGCGATCAAAGCCAGAATTGAAAAACCATCAAATGATTCAAAGTGCAGATTGTGCAAAGAAGCAGAAGAAACAGTAGATCATACACTCAACCTGTGCAAGAAGATCACACAAACTGATTATAAACAACGACATAACAAAGTCACCAAAATGATTCACTGGAACATCTGTAAAAATTACCATGTGGCAGTAATGAAAACTTGGTGGGAACATATAGTTGAAAAAGTAGTCGAAAATGAGCAGGTTGAAATATCGTGGGACTTCCGAATACAAACTGATAAAGTCTTGGCACATAACACACCACACTTAACTGTGGCTGAAAAGAAGGAAGTGTGGATAATTGATGTGGCCATACCAGATAGTAGAACAGAAGACGAAGAATTGGAGAAGATCACACACTGTCAAGATCTGAAAAGCGAAGTGGAAAGATCATGGCATAAACCAGCCGTGGTGGTCCCAGCGGTTATCAGCACACTGAGCGCCATACCAAGAAGCCTTAGAAAATTGGCACATTGACATCGGCACAAAATTTCCATTGGTCAATTACAAAAGGCCACCCTGCTTGGACCCGGACATACACAGCGCCGATACATTGCGACATCCGAGGGTCTTGGGAAGAACTGGATGCGAATGAAGCCAACACCAGCTAAAGAACGGGCAGTTGTGATTTCACGTTGTTGCGCATATACAGACGACTCAAGGCTGCCCTCGCTGGCGGCCGACCGTCCGACCCTGGGTAACGCTGTCTCACCATACCTCTCACCTTCAGGGCCAGGGACTGGCCTGGAGCTCCAGAGACCCCAAAAGATTCAAAGACCCCAATCGCTCTTCCATCATTTACTGACCCAGCCATTTATCAACCCCTTGGACAGCCCCACTGACCCTTGGGGGTCGATACTGACCACTTTGGGGAACCCTGGGCTAGACTGATGGAGGATTGATGAGGCTGGGGGGGAGGCAGGTGGGTTACGTAGATGCAGGTTGCATGGGAGACAGATTGCAAGTACCTGATTTTATTTGTCTGTTTAATTTGCATGCCGCCCATCTCCCCCAGAGATGGGGGATCAATAGATCAATGAGCAATTGCAATGTGCCAGCCTCACTTTCTCGGGCCCTGGGTGGCAGCCCCGTAGCTGCGTCCAGACGACCCCCCCGGACCCAAAGCAGGGAAGCCACCGGACAATCTTGCTTAGAGACCCTGCCCCAGCCCTCCTTCGCCCCACAAAATGAGATCCGGTTTGGTGTCGCGGGGAAGGTCTGCCATTTTTATTGCACTTTAATTCATATTGATTCGTGGCTCTTATTGCGAACCGCCCAGAGCCCCTTCCTCGTGAGATGGGCCGTGACCAAATTTGCAATATGAAAAACTTGACATATAAAATAAAGAAGTAAAGCTAAAGGTGCTGGCCGAGAAAGCAGGAGACACGAAAGCAGGCTGGGGG